ATCTGGAGGCCCAAGGTTGGGGATCACTGCTCTAGTGCATAGATATTAGCATATGCTAATACCTTATGCTAATTTCATGTTCTATTGAAAAATTAAGTCTTCGTTAAAAACTATCTCTTTTAGATGTCGAAAAGAGTATGAAAATAGAAATGAAGCTGCAAAGGGAGATGAAGCAACAAGGAAAAGATTTCACGCATTTGTGCTGTTTCTAGCTGAACTTTATTTGAACTTAGAGGTAAGAATTTCTGTCTTTTAAAAAAAAAAACTTATCCTTAGCCAGAAAATTAGTGAGGAAAAGGCCTAAGGGCTCTGTAAGTTAATGGAAACCAGGAAGCATATAAGAGTAACATTTTTAGATTTCTTTCACTTATTTACAGGATTGTAATTGCTTGTTTTGTATTGTCAAGTGTACTGTCTCCAATCCATGATGATCATTTAAATGAGCAATCTCCAAAATGCTGTTTTTAACAGTCCTGTTCAGCTCTTGCAAACTCAAGACTGTGGCTTCCTTTATGAAGCCAGTGAGTCTCATATTTGGTCATCTTCTTTTTCTACTGCCTTTAGCTTTTCCTAGCATTATTGTCTGTTCCGTCAAGTCTTGCTTTCTCAAGTATGATAGCCTTAATTTCATCATTTTTTTCTTGTATGGAAAATTCAGCCTTGATTTTCTCTAAAACTTTTTTTTTTTTTTGGTCTTTCTGGCAGTACATGGCATCCACAAACTTCTTCTGTAGCTCCATATTTCAAAGAAATTGATTTTTTTTCTGTGACAGCTTTCTTCACTGTCCAGTTTTCACATAGTACATAGTAACCACGAAAAAGATAATGTGGATGATCTAGACCTTCATCTTCAACAACACATCTTTACACTCAATCTTTTCTGTTCTTCTCATACCTGCCTTTCCAAGTCTTAGTCATCTTCTGATTTCTTGGCTTCCATCTTCATTTGAATTGATGATTGAACCAAGGAATAGAAAATCTTTAACAATTTAGACTTCTTCATTGTCAAAATTAAGGTTATACAGTGGTGCCTCGACCTAGGACCATAATCCGTTCCAGAAGATAGATGTAACTCTAAATGGTCGTATATCGAAAAAATGCATTGGAACGCGATTAATCCGTTCCGGCAAAAAAAAAAGCAAAAAAAAAAGCAAGACCACACAGCAAACCCCATTGGAAGGTGCTGGGGCTTTTAAAAAACAAAACAAAAATAAAGCACACAGCAAGCCCCATCGGAAGGCGCTGGTGCTTTTAAAAAAACAAAAATTAAGCACACAGCAAGCCCCATTGGAAGGCGCTGGGGCTTTAAAAAAAACACTGAAAATAAACAACACAGCAATCCCCATGGGAAGGCGCTGGGGCTTAAAAAACTAACCAAAAATCAACAACACAGCAAGCCCCATCAGAAGGCGCTGGGGCTGAAAAAATAAACATACCAAAACACACACACAGAAATCACAGCAGAGAAACATAACCCCCCCCCCAGCCCAAATCCACCCTGCAAACCGGAAACCAGCACCAGGCAGTCTGAAGCCTCCTCCGACACACACTCTTAACGGTTGGGGTTAAAGAGCTACAAAGAAGCTCTTCGTCAACCAATGGTTAGCCCTCCAATTTGAATTCCCTGCCCTTTTTCCCTGCCTCTTTTGATTGCAACTCAAAGCTCCGGCTTTGTTGTTGAAGCAAAATTTTGCGGCAGGAGCTGTTCACATCTCGAAATGGTTGTATGGTGGGATAGTCATAAGTCGAGGCACCACTTTATAGTTCTTTTGTAATTATGATTTTTGTCTTCTTAATATTCAACTACAGTTTTGTTTTTGCTCTTTACTCATCTTCATCAGAAATAGTTTCAAATCATTGTCACTTTCTGCCAGTAATTGTCACTTTCTGCCAGTAATATGGTATCGTCTGTGCATCTTAAATTATTGATGTTTCTTATGGTATTGTCTGTGTATCTTAAATTATTGATGTTTCTTCCACCAATTTTTTCTCCATTCCTAATCCAGTTTTCCGTATCATATGTTCTGAATAAATATTGAACAGGTCAGGAGATAACTTGCATTTCTGTCTGATACTTTTGCCTACGGGAAACAAATCTGTTTCTCTATATTCTGTCCTAACAGTAGCTTCTTGTCTGTAATATAGGTCATGCATCAGGACAATCAAATGTTGGGACACACCCACTTCTTTCAGACCAATCCATAGATTTTCATGATTTATAGAGTGACAGGCATTTTTGTGGTCTATAAAGCATAGACTACAGAAATTATTTGATATGCTCCAGTAGCCAGTATATGTTTTCAATATGATCTTGAGTGATTCTTCCTTTTCAGAATCCAGTTTGAACATCAGGCATTACTCATTCCATATGTGGTAAAAGCCTTTGTTGCAACACCTTAAGTATCACTTTGCATGCATTGGGAAATTAGAGCAATGGTCCTATAATTACTGCACTCCGTGGCATCTCCTTTCTTGGGGATTGGAATGTATATTGAACTTCTCCATTGTTTTGTTTTCCATATTTGTTGACACATTTTAGTCTCAGTATCCCATCTCTATCCCATCTAATCATCTCCTGGTGATTTTTTAAAAATTCTGGTGCTTTCTTACATTGAAAACTGTTGACACATGTTAGTCTCAGTATCCCATCTATATCCCATCTAATCATCTCCTGGTGTTTTTTTTAAAATTCTGGTGCTTTCTTACATTGAAAACCTCTGATGGCGTTAATAGACACTTTAATTCAAATTAATCATTGGCAAGTCCCTTTCGGTATGTTACTGGATGGTGGGAAATGGTTTATTTTACATACTGACCCAAATCCTCTTATGTTAGTCTCAGTATCCCATCTATATCCCATCTAATCATCTCCTGGTGTTTTTTTTAAAATTCTGGTGCTTTCTTACATTGAAAACCTCTGATGGCGTTAATAGACACTTTAATTCAAATTAATCATTGGCAAGTCCCTTTCGGTATGTTACTGGATGGTGGGAAATGGTTTATTTTACATACTGACCCAAATCCTCTTGCGGTGTAAATTTTGGAGGTGAATTGCCCCATGTTCAGAAATCACAATAGTCGTCTGAGTTGTGTCACTCAGTTTGCAATTGATAATATCTGTGGTGATTTCTTAACTTGAGGCATTTTGCCTTCAAAGGTTATTCCACTTGCATAGCTATACAAAAGGATTTTAGCAATGACTCTGATTTATGGCAAGTACACAGTTGGTTTACCTGGTTGTAATAATTTGCATTATTTTAAGCTGATGATTCCAAAACTGGCAGAACACTAAGAACTTGTTTTAATGGCCTAAATCATAAGTGTTCATACACATTTTTTAATGCTTTTAGATTAAAGGAACTAAAGGTCAGCTAACCAGAGCAGAGATTCTTCAGACTGGACTTCATGAATTATTGAACACGCTTTTTTCTAATCCTGTGGACAACAATTTAATCTGTGCAGTTAAGCTACTGAAAGTATGGTTTTTAAAATTATTACTTGGAGTTTTATTCTTTTTCTTTTTTTCTTTTTGGTTAAAATTTTAGCATTAATTTTTTGTACATCGGTTCCCCAATAAATATTTGATGCCTGCAGTTACTAAGGATGAATTAGTAAACCTGGACCAGGGACCTGGATTTAGATCCTAATTTATCCATGCAGTGCTTTGGTTGGACATGTCATAGTATCTCATTAAGCTTCCTCAAAGAGTAGTTAACTTTTTAAAAGTTATATATGGCATCCTTAGCTCTTTTATTTATAAAAAGGCTGTAAAAGAACAATTTCTGTGGCATAACACTGAGCCATTCCATGAATGGAGAGTTTATCCAGTCATGAAATGTTATTTACTAATAGTAATTATATGTACTTGTATCACCTGTTCAGTGAAGTAAAATGTTAACATTGTCTGAGAAGAAAGACTGGGCTAGAATTTTTTCCAGTTTTCTGTAAAACCCAGAGTAATAGGTAGGTAGATTCCATGTTGTAGGAGGCCTTCAAAATGTCACAGAAGTCAGTCACAAAAAGACATATTTTAATAGTATTCATTAACAACCATTTATAGTTCTAATGTGTTCTCTTGCAAGCATATATAATGGATGATTTGTAGCAAAGACTAAAGAGTGTTACACAGGAAGCTGTTATTACAAAGTACTGTGTGCCCGAAATTCTCTTTCTGTAATTTATGCTGCGGAAGATTGAGGATATGAACTACAGTGATTTTTTTGGAAATTAAATATTTATAACTTCTCTCCATGGGCTGTCCTGTAATCCTTTCCACTTTCAGGATGCTGTAGGACAATGGGACAGGAGAAGGAAGTCTTTAATTACTGAAAATCAAAAACAGTACAAGATTGATTCAGGCAATGGTAGTTTTTGGTAATCAGAAACTCCCCTCTTCTGGCCCAAAGCCTCCACAGCTTCCAGAAGTCAGACATGTTTAATTTCCAAAACAAACAAACAAACAAAAACCTACTGTCATCAACCTTATGTGGCATAAGTTACAGCAGTAGGATTTCAGACAATGTGTCATAAATGCTACTAGAATAGCTGAGCAACTTCTAGTCTTTATAGATGAGCAAAATCACATCCATAGTGGAAGTGCCAGCTCAATCAGAGTATTAAAGCAATATAATTCATACCCTTCCATTTTATGGTGTTTAAAAGCCCCTGTATCATAAATCTATTTTGAATTGATAGGAAAATGATTTTGAAATGGTTTGATCATGCAACAAATAATGCAGAAATATCAGTAGCTTTAAAGTCATTTTGAAAATGCCTTTCCTAATAGCATGCATTCCCTAGTTGACAGGGTCTGTGCTAGAAGATGCATGGAAAGAAAAAGGAAAGACTTATATGGATGACATGATACAGAAAATTGAAAATGTTGTCTTGGATGCAAATTGCAGCAGGTAGTAAGAAAATTAAGTGTTTTCATAGCTTTCCTTTTTGCATGATTATTCCTTGCTATTTCTTAAAAATACATAATAGGGCAGTTCTTTAAATGTTTCTGCTCATGTCTGTAGTTGTCATCGAGTTGATACAGTATTAAAATATCTGCCATGTTTAAGTAATATAACGCTTGACTAATTCTGTCCTGTAATCATTAGCTGGCTGCTTTATAACTGTTTGGTTAGCATTTATTTAAATATGTATTTCAAAGCCCTAGAGCAAGGACCCTGAAGGTATAGATGACTACTATCTGTTCTGGAGCCTGCTTATAATTGCCCAAAACAATTTGGTGTAAAGTAATGGCTCACCACTTGATGCTAATTGCCAGGAGCTACCTTACCTTATTAGATTTCTGTAATACTTTGGACAACACTCAAGAATGATGTGACTTGGGTTGGAACACTGGCTTGGCCATTGGATTGAGCGGAAGAATATGGTTGAAATTTTCACTAGAAAATTAAAGAAGATATGCAGTCTTGCAGCTGAAGACAAGCTAGCTATAAGAGCAATAATTATACCATAACATACTGATATTACACTAATTGCCAGAGGTTTTGCAGGGAACAGGAACATTTTTTCTTGATGCATGAAGAATCATTGATGATGATTTAAAAATCTTTATTTCAAATTTTTGTTAATTGTTTTTTTCGCCCAACAGGTCTCCCAAGGCGGTTTATAAGTGAAATAGACAACATTACTTAAAACTAACGTTAAGAACTTTTGAAGAGTAGATTTTTAAAAGCTAGTTTTAAAAACCAAAGGCCATCCAGTTTCGGCTGCCTGCTAAATCTAGCCTGAGTTCGCTGGAGAAGAAAGTTCGTGTCAGAGGCCCGTTTGCAGAAAAAGCCCTATCTCATCTTCTTACCAACTTTGGCTTTTGTGGTGGTGGAACACATACAGGACCTCTGTTGAACATCTTAAATTATTGGCAGGCTCAGACATGAAAAGGTGATCTTTCAGATGACATGGCTCCTAGCCATTTAGGATTTTGTACGTCAGAACCAGTCTCAGGTGAAATCTGAATAAAGGCAGCCTAGGCAGAATCCGCTTAAGAAGATTACATAACTCAAGGATGATTGCAGAGAAGGCCTAGGAAAATCTGGAGGAACGCTTCTGATGATTACAGAAGATGCTAGAGAAGTTGTAATTGGAAAGTAATTCTTAAGGTTACTGAACTATTTTAGGTCCCAGGTTAAAGTCAGCACTTTGAATTGTGCTGAGAAACAACTTCGGAAGGAGTGTATTTTTTGTTATTGAACTCCTATTTTGAACAGTTATTATTTTTAATGTATTCTATTTTATCGTCAGATTAAACATTTTCATAACTGTATTTTTATTTTTCTTTGAGAATAAATTCATAAATAGGGAGGGCGAGCAGCTAAAGAAATTAACAAGTGCAGGTGAAACATATTCATTATATTGTACTGGTTAAAAAACAGGCGGCAGTATTCTGAACCACTTGAAGATTCCACACTGTTTTCAAAGACATTTTTGTTTGTAATGCACTGCAGCGAGTTAGTTGGGAATATGTTACCCAGTGCAAAACACTGAAAGCTCCCATGTGTGTCATATTTAATACATATACCTCCAGTAACAAAGGCCACATTTGAATGAATTGCATGAGAATCTTCCTTTCAGATTTTAAATTGTTCACAACAATAAAAAGTATGAATGATCAGCACTTTCACATTTATTTATTTTTTAATTAGATTTCTACCCCGCCCATCCTAGATCAAAGATCTACTCTGGGCGGCAAATTGCCTTTGGCAGTGAGTTAGCAGTAAGGTTCAATTCAAAGTTCTGGCTATGACCTATAAACTGGCTTTTATAGGCCAGTTCTCTGCAGGACCGTATCACCCCATATGAGTCTCCTCAGCTTTTAAGATCTTCTGGAGAGGTCCATCTCCCAGTCCCACCACCCTCACAAGGTTTGTTTGGTGACGATGCAAGAGAGGGCCTTTTCAGCAGTTGCTCCTAGGTTTTGGAATACACTGTCCCAAGAAACCAGTTTGGCCCCCTCCCTCTTGTCCTTTAATCGCTGGACAAAGACCTTTTTAGACAGAGTTTTAAAGAATAAGGAGTTTGGCGAATGCTGCATCTATTGAATTTAGCTATTTTTTAAATGCTTTTAAAAGTGTTTTTACGGTTTTTAATACTATTATATATTTTGTCAGTTTTAAGCTTCTATTTTATGGTGTTTTTAGTGGTGAATTGCTTGTGAAGTGCTTTTTAGTCCCCTATGAGGAAAAAGATGGCTTAATTAATTAATTAATAATACATACAGTACTTTTTAGTCCCCTATGAGGAGAAAGATGGCTTAATTAATTAATTAATTAATTAATAATACATACAGTAGTTACTGAAAAGCTCTGCAGAAGTCCCCAGAGGTTATTGTTTTAGTTTTGTTGTTTTTCACCCACATGTTCTGATTGCAAACATAGTAAATTTCCGCCTAACATTGAAAGTGTTGTGACTTCTCTGTTATACTTTTGTCTGTTCCAGAGATGTAAAGCATATGCTTCTGAAACTAGTAGAACTACGGTCAAGTAACTGGGGAAGGGTACATATAACCTCAACATTCAGGGAAGCAACTCCAGAAAATGATCCTAACTACTTCATGGTAATAAATAATTCAATCTGTTATTAAATAGATTTATCAGAATATTCATAATTGTCAGCATGAGAAATTAGTGGAAATAGAAACTTATCTGTATTCTAATTTTAGAATGAACCAACATTTTACACATCTGAAGGTGTGCCTTTCACTGCAGCAGATCCAGGTATGTAACTGATATAATTTTGTTTAATTTCTAGACAGAAAACAGATGTGGCTTGAGGAACTTAAAAAAAGATAGTGTTGAAAGTTAACGTTTCTTACCCTGTCATTAATTCTTCAATACAAGCTGTCATTGGAAACTTTTTCCAGTTTGGAATCTAAACAATAACTTAATTGTTTCCCAGAAAAGTAGAAGAACAATGGGAAACTTCTTACTCTGTTCATATTGAAATACATCTAATGCAAGGTAGAGACTACACTACCTGATGGTGCTATATGCACAGTAGCATAAAGAGAAAGCACTATTTCTGTTTTCATTTGTTTAGCAGAGCAAAAATAGATGGATGAAGGATGTATTTTCCAGGATTCCTGGACTATCCTACCTTCTTCCTTTTTCATTGGAATGTTTTTTTTTTCCTTTTCATGTGAATTGGTGCCATTGCAATGATGTGCTTGGGTACTTTACTTCAGCTAACCTTCTGAAACATGGGCTAAACTTTCAGGGGGGACTTGGGTATACTTCAGGATATTATATTTTATTCAGTGGAGAGATGAAAGGTTGCATTCAGTTTGATTGGACAAATTCAATTTTATTAGCTTAGAGTTAATGTAGTATAACCAGGAAGCAAAATGTTCAGAATACAAATAAGTGATGAAATAGAGTAAAACAGTGTGATATGCCTGAACAAAATGTCAGTGATGTCCATAAAGCTATAGGACGAGCAAACATTGTATATTACTACACAGTGGTGCCTCACTTAGCGATGTTAATTCATTCCGAAAAAATCGCTGCTAAGCGATTTCATCGCTAAGCGAAACGCGTTTTCCCATTGAAATGCATTGAAAACCGGATAATCTGTTCCAATAGGAACGAATTGCCGTCCTTAAGCGAAAATTGCTATAGGAAACATCTGTAGCGAAACGTGGTTCCCCAATTGAAATGCATTGAAACCTATTCAATACATCTCAATGGGGGAAAAATACAACAACAAATTAAAAAAGAGTCAGAACAAAGTCGATTTTGGTTAACAAAGGGTTTATTAAGTGCACTTTATGATTTCAAACATTTTAAACAGTAAACTTTAACTTTATAAATAACAGAAAAACATTTTAAAAACAGCAAACATGAGGCTGTTTAAACCATCATTAAGCAAAACAGGGGACCAAAAATTTAATCGCTATGCAAAGCATGGTCCCAACCATCGCTAAGCGAAAATCGGCCATAGGGACCATCGCTAAACGAAGCGGAAAAACACTCCAAAAAGTCATCGCTATGTGATTTCATTGCTAAATGGAGTGCCCGTTAAGCGAGGTACCACTGTATTTGTTACAGATATAGAGTGAATAATCTTTGAGGTGCAAATTAATTTTTAAAAACTACAATTGTAGATTATCAAGAGAAATATCAAGAACTACTTGAAAGGCAAGACTTATTTCATGAGTTCGAGGAAAATGGAACAGACTTATCAGGAGCTGGAGATCCGTAAGTTTTTATCTTCAGGCAGATCTTAAACTGCAGCTGTATTAAAGTTCACTTTAATAATTAGAAATCCCAAATTAGGATACCAGTTTTTCAGAACACCCTTATCAAAACTGAGTGTCTATTAACATATTTTGGTACTTCAGTTTAAAAAATACATGCTACTCATATTTGGCATGCTGCTTCTCTTCCCATTTTGCTTCATTGCTTGCTATGGTAGATCACTGAATTTTAATAGAGGTAGAATCATTGCCTTAGTAATAGCGTAGTTGAAGTTCTACTAAAATAGTTCTGTCTTTGAAAAGAATATTTGCAAATCCAGGCAAACTGGCTTGTTTCCAGAGGTGCTGTTCTCAAGCACGAAGTTCCTTCCACTTAAAGGATTGCTGTTTTAAATTTAGCAAAACAGTTTTGAACAAACAAAAGTTGGGAACTGTAGTGCACCCCATTGATTGAAATATTGGGCAAATGGCTCCACATTCTTTCTTATACAGATTCCTCTGCTAGCATTTCTGCAAAAGTTAGTGAAACAGCACAAATGGGTGAACATCTTCCACTTCTTTAGATTCATCTCCAGACTTTTGTTCTGAAGTATTTGCACAATCTGATTCTCTCCATTTGGGCTTGATACTACTGTATGTGGTAATATCTATTATAAAGCAATTACAAGATGAATTACAAGTTGTACAAAATACTATTGTAGCAGTTCAGCACTTCCCATTGCTTATTGCCAGAGCTTCTGGAATTTAAACCTGAGGTATCTTGACTGTTTTTATATCTGAGGAGTAAATGCACATCTAACAGCTGAATTTATTGTAGGTATTTCGACGACGACGATGATGAAGATGAGGATGAGATGGACCCAGAAATTGAAGAAGCATATGAAAAATTTTGCTTAGAATCAGAACGCAAAAGGAAACAGTGAGACATGGCACATGAAGATTAGTGTTTGGTTTTTTAAAGAAAAAACAGCATAGATGGAAATAGCAAGTTAGACGCAATGGAAAAGCGTTGTAATGTCCATACCAAACAGAGGAGATTAAGTTTGTCCACATAATAAATTTATGCAATTTCCATTTTGTTAAACAGAATCTGCCAAAAATTGTAAACTTTAAAATCCTGTAACTTTATCAATGTATATATATCATCGTTTATTTCCTGTACAGTTGAATAAACAATGTTTTGGCTGGACTAAATTTTATTTGAAACATGTCATAAAATAATCTACAAATCTGAGCATTGTATTAAAGGTTACACTTTTTTTGAGAGTAAAATCCCACGAACCATAAAAAACACATTGACCTGCTTTTGGAATGGCTTTGTACTGCTTCTCCTCTGTATAGGTAGCTGTCATCCCAAATAGTCGTAATTTCATTATTTTTAGACTCATGGAACATCCAATAACTTTTTAATGTTTTACAATCATGGTCATAGTAAGTTCTGAAGGAAAACTTGCAAATACATATTCTTTTCAAAAAGCTAAATATTGCATAGACATTTTAGATAATGAAAGTTGTAATCAATAAATTATTTCAGTCCAGATGCCATGTTAAGGATCTTCCCAACAATGAATTTGGATGACTAGGAATTTGTCAATTGCTTTTGTGTTCTGTCCCTAAGCGACAGTTTGCCATTGTGCATTAATGGGCCAAACTGTGATTAGTGGTTATCACGATAGCTTCTAAACAACAGTGGCAAATGCTACATAATAGAGTAAGGGGTGAATCCTCGTTCTCTCATTACTCATACTAAGAAGTCAAAATTTTTCTGCCACTCTTCAGTTTGGTAATTTATGTACATTATACAGTCACTAGTGTTGAGTAAAACAGTTTCACAGTTCATAAAATAACTTCTAAATATAGCTGCTAGTTATTGTATCTTCTCTCTTCATCAGTTCTTGACCCTACAGATTTTTGCCCAGGAAACTTCTACAGTTTTTGTTCCTCCTTTTATATTTAATAGATCAAGTAGAGTCTATTTCTTAACACAAAATGTGTGTGTTGAACTTCCCAAGAGGTAGGTTAAATAACTTATATAAAGAGGTGTTGTAAATATGCATGTAAATAGTGCTGTTTAATATTGCACTGTTATAACTTGACATAGTTTGTGTCTGTTAACACGGCATTACTACATCTTCTGGTTGTTCATTTGTTTAGCTGATTAACATAATATTTTGAAAAATAAACAGATTCATTTTGTTGGGTTTATTTTGGCTTCCTGTTTGTGTCTTTTTTATTGTAACACAGGATTGCCCTAGATCTTTTTTGCTTTTGAGCATCCTTGTCTTTGCCCTTGACATTTGGCACTGTCACTCTTTAAATTAGAATAAGATGGCAGGATAGTATTGTAATTAATATGCAGTAAAATAAACTGTTGAGAAATCATATTTAAAATTAAAATCTGTAAGAGGAAAGTTGTAGATATTTTGAAATTCTTGTTTTGTATGACTGCAGTTGATCCTAAGACACTTGGCTAATGAGCAAAGAAATCCTACCTGCAAGGAGAGTCCGATACCTTTGAAGTTGTATATACAGTGGCAAGACAGAAATCAGGAGTGACTTTTCTGACACCTCTCCCTGTTCAGTCACTTTCCTTTCTCTTAAAATCTTATTCCATATCATTGATATCTAGGACTGGCGTAGATTATAAGCCAGTGGAGGAGAGCATGTCCATAGCCTCCCAGATCACACCAGCAACACCATTTCCATTCCTCAGGTATCAGAATTCCCATGTCAAAGATAACTTCTACTAGGGCTGTGAGGTGCGACCTTATGTCAAATCTCCTTCAAGATGAACTAGTACCATCCCAGAGAATATCCAAATGCACTTTATTTTTGAGGAGCATTATCCAGAACACTGATTTTCAGTCTTTTCTATCTTGTATCTCTCAGTCACCATTTCAAAGAATCTGACTCCCACCATGATAAAAACAAAAGGACTACTTTTCTCAGACATATTTCTGTATGTACAGACCTTCTCTCATAATACTTATCATTTAAAATAGAGGGCAGCCTATGCAGAGCCTGGACCTCCAGCCGTTCCATATAGCACTCAACTTTTAAAATTTGCTCAAAGTCCTCTTTTGCACTCTTACGGGATGAGGAGGAATCTGTGCCCTTTTGCACCCATTTTCCTCTCAAAGTTTAATTTTTAAAAATGTTTTGGGCCAATAGAGGGAGCAACAGAGCTTTTCAGTTAAAAAAACTCAGTTAAATCTTATGAATTAACAAAACCCACTGTAACAATTTTAAAGTACTGTACATAGCCACTACATTAAAACGAATTGAAAATAATAAACTATGCTAATTAGTTTTGCCATGACCTCTTACCTTAACTCCCTGCTGTGAGAATGGAGTTAGAAAATGGTCCTCAGCCTCACTGAGATCACTCACTGTGATTTCAGGTAATTTTTAGCACATTAAAAAAATCAATAGCATTCTTCAGTATAAGCAGAAACTGTTAATGCCATTACTGGTTGGAAATTGTAATTATACTGTTAAAAATAACTTTTATTAATATGGTAACTGTAAAACAGAAATATAGCATTCTACTTGCCGGAGGGGGGGGACGACAAATGAATTGTGAAAATGCTGTGTTCCACCTCGAGTTCTTCTGCATCCCACGAAGGGTCCAGGTATCACCAGTGGAAAAGCACTAGTCTGGAGGATCAGATGAGAAAGTGTGGTACTATGATGCTTTTATTTTTAAAATTCATCCCCTTTACATCTCCCTTTCTAGTTTTTCCCATTTTGACAGCATGCATACTGACTGGCTGCTGTGAAAAAAAACAAACTAGTTTATAGTTCAATGTAGCCTTTATAGAAGTTAAAATGAATTGTGACTACTGTATCTACTAAACACAGCTAGGGAAGTGACACTTGGGAGACTAAGCACTGTAAAATAAGGAATCTATGCATTATCACACGCTGCCTCCATTCCCTCAACATCAAACGCCTGGGAATCCAGAGACAATGCTGTATCATATTATTACAGTATAGATAAACAACCATATTTTCAGTTTTCAGGCTGGGTTGAGGCTGGCCAGTGCCTGGATGAGAGGATGCTTAGGACTCACTTGCGCCCTACCTTAAGTTCTGGGGAAGAAGAGGGAGTGTAACATACACTAAATAACATCTTATATTGCTAAGTAACAACCTGCTCTTGCTTCTTAACATTTGATGCAGCCATAGTTGCTCTGACTGGCTGCAGCAGACTCCACAGATTTCTACCGTTTTTTCCCCTGTTCTATTTAAGGAACATAAATTTTTGTTTAGGTGAAATCATGCACCTGAGCTGCTCTATAGGAGCAGCTTGGGTTCATGATCTCACCCAGACAACATTTTCTGTTCCTTAAATAGAACTCTAGTCTGTTAAGATTTTAAGCTCAAGATATTGTGAAATCTTTAAGGTGCTTATTTATTACATTTTTCATTTAAAGAAAAGGTTTAGTTTTAATTGTTTTCAGTAAAAACTGAATTGTTTCCCTAACCAGCCATTTTGTTGATTACACATATATACCACCAGACTTCAATTTAAGGAGCTGAAGACTTTTGTATATGTTGTTCTCTCCCTCCTTTTCCTAGTCATAACAATTCTGGCCAATAGATTAGGCTGAAACTCAATGACCAGCCCGAGGTCACCCGACCCAAGGTCACCCAGAGAAATTCATGGCAAGCTCAACAGAGATTAAAATCTGAGCCTCCTGGCTCTGGGCCTGATTTCCAGAAACCACACTGGTGTTACCTTGCCCTGCTACCAGCTATCCACAAAAAGTTAGAGGTAATGTAACACTTGTGTCTCCTGTCAACCTAGCAGTTTGAAACCATGTACAGTGGTGCCTCGCTAGACGATGATAATCCGTTCCACTGAAATCGCTGTACAGTGGACCGTTGACTTACAGACGGCTTGACTTACAGACTTTTTGAGTTACAGACTTCTCTGGCCGCAAAATTTAGGTTTGACTTGCAGACTGAGATTTGACTTACAGACCAGAAAAAAACCAAAATGGAACAAAAACGGCCTGTTACGGGATTAATCAGTTTTCAATGCCCTGTAAGCCAATGGAGACTTGACTTACAGAGTTTTTGACTTGAGAACTGCCTTCCAATACGGATTAAGTTCTCAAGTCAAGACCCCACTGTATAGCGAAATAATTGTCTAGCGAAAAGCATTTCCCCATTGAAATGCATTGAAACCTGTTTAATGCGTTCCAATGGGGAAGAATCGTCATTGTCTAGCGAAGATCGGCCATAGGAAAGCCGCTTTGCGAACTGCTGATCAGCTGTTTAAATCGCTGTCTTGTGAAGTTTAGGTCCCGAAAACACCTGTTTTGCGAGCACGGAGGGAGCTGTCAAAATCGTCTAGCGAAAATCAGTTTGCGATGCAGGGACCAAACATTGTCCAGCGAAATTCCCCCATAGGAATCACTGTTTTGCGAATTGCTATAGCGATCACAAAAAGTCAATGTCTAGCAAAAAAAAAAAACCTGTCATGCGGGGTAACTATCTAGCGAGGCACAACTGTAAATGCGACTAATCAGTGGTCAGGGAACAGGGGTAAATTACCCCAAATGGGGTAAAAATGAAAATCCTGGGGGTAATGAGGACGCGACCCTAACTCTCTTCCCTCCTCCTCCTCCTCCTCCGCCCAGAGGGGGGTCCCCGGCTGCCCGATCGCCCCCTTCCTGCTCCCTTCTCCAGCCTGGCTGCAACCGAGCCACGGTGGATGGTGGCGGCGTACGGCAGCTAAGGCAGCGGCATGGCAGAGGGCGAGGCGGGGGCAAGTGGCTGGAGCGCAGCAGCGTAGAGGAGCCTCTCCTTCCAGTGCCCAGAGAGGTAGATTGCAGTGGAGGGGGGCAGGCGTAGCCATGACGACGGCCCGAGCCAGGCTCAGCCTCCTGGTGCCAGGACGACGACGCCACCCCACACCCCGTCCCTGTTCCTGGAGGAGCCCGTGGGGCAGCAGCAACGCTCACCCAGCCACACAGCTTCCTTCAGCGGCGCCTCTGCACTGGCCGGCTGGGCCTGGCAGAGCCTCTCGCCCTCCATGCCGCAGCTGTTGCAGCGCCTTGACGGCGAGGCCCAATGCCGCCACCCCGGCGAGCAGCCACCGGAGCGGGTGCTGGAGTGGGAGGCAGCCCTTGATGGGCAAGCCACCTGCTGCTCTTCGACAGGGAGCCGCCCCCGCGGGGCCAAGGACTGAGCGTGGCCCCCTGCTGCTCTTCGACAGCCACCCGGGAGAAAGGGAGCCGCCCGCGCAGGGCCAAGGACTGAGCGTGGCCCCACCAGGCGGTGGGGGCCCAGGAGGCGAGGCTTCGGTGGTGGCGCTTGACTGGCCGTGCATGACCGAGACACGCATGACTGAGATCCTTCCTTTCAAATTAAGGAGGAAATGTTGGTGTATATAAAAAGTTTTAGGGAGTAAAAGGTAAAAAAGTTCCCTGACCCCTGGAGTACATAAATAGGTACCACCTCGGTGGGAAGGTAATGGTGTTCCGTGTCTGGTCGCGCTGGCCATGGAAACGGTCTAGGAACAAATGCTGGCTCTTTGGCTTGGGAACGGGGATGAGTATCACGCCCTAGAGTCGGACATGACTGGACAAATTGTCAAAGGGAACCTTTACCTTTACCTAACACTTGTATCAATAACAATATTGGTACTTTGAGAATGTATAAACGGTAGCTGCTAACTGAAATTATTCTCAGCTGGATCCTTCTATTCCTCTATTGACGACCTGTTGTCAATGTGTCATTCATTCCACTTTTATATTGCCCCATTAGTGAAAACACTCTCTGGACAGTTCACAAGCTATATAATTAAAAATCATATAAAAATACCACAATATACAAGCAATACAATTAAAACCCTCTCCCTGCCCTTACCTGGTCACGGGGCCACCTCTAAATGTGCATCTTACAGTCTCACTCCACTGTCTGGGGGAATGGACTCAATCCATGAAAGTTGACGTTAAAATAACATTTAACCTGTAAAGTGCCACCATGTTTTTTTCTTTCGCATTTTTACTGTTATGTTTAGTTCGTTTGTTTTTGTCTGATGTGCTATCAGTCCCCCAAGCCAGCCATTCTATGGTAGAACAGAAGAGGAAGCAGGTACTCCGACCTCTCCTACTCCCTCGTTGCTCCTCCCCATCATTCATCCCTATCAATGCAGTTAGTATGGTTTATTTTAGCCACTTCCAAGCCATCTTTCAAAACATACATAACAGTACTGCGTGAGTTTGGGGCAGGTCGCGTGCAAATAGTGGTTTTGGACTACGACTCCCAGAATCCTACAGGACATAGACCTTGGGGGAGTCTGGGTCTTGTAGTCCAAAGGAACCCCTGTTAACCGTACTGCATCTACACCAAAAAATAAAATAAAATCTAAAGGAATAAATACGGTGATTTCCCCCCCACACACACACGTTTACGGGCGGTGGCAGCTTTGGGTTGGAATATGTCTCATTCTGCATATAAACAATTAGGGATGTCAGAATGAATCCGGCGATGAGGACGAGGCGTGTGGGGGGAATATATCCAAAACTGTTAAGTCGCGACATCAGGTTAAGTCGGGTGGGAAGAGAAGAAATCTTTGCCTTTTCCGAACAAAGTAGAAGTCACAAAACTCCACCCACTACTAGAGGAGCGGCTAGTCCTTATGAAATGAATGCTCATTGCTTGCCCCGCCTTCCCGATTAGCTCCGCCCCCGCGTTTTCTCCCGCGCTCTCTGGTTGGTTTCCCCGCGCCCCGCGCTCCGGTTTGAAAGAATCTCTGCTGGGCCCGAACCGCTTCCTGGAGTCCCGGTAAACCTTTTTTTCCCCTCTCGCTTAGACCGAGAGCTCGACTTTCTACTGCCTCGTTTTCCGTGTCACCGGCTCTGGGTCAGGACTTACCGGAGGTTCGGGGCTTCCGTTGCGGAAGGGCCAAGGGGAATGGGGTTTCCCTGTAATCCTTGGGCGGGGGGGGGGAGACATGGTCTGTACAATTGGGCGCTGCAACAAAAAGGTTGCAGTGCATCCTCGCCTTTCAGTATCCGTGCTTTGGGAGCGTTCCTAGCCATGCCCTCGTACAGAGTTCTGTAAAGTGAAAGTGACCAATTCAGCAAGAGAGCTCCACTTCCTCTCTCTGATTTTTCCAAACCCCCCCCCCATTTTTTTTCTTTTCTAATGTATGGTGGTGTCATGGAACAAGCAAAACCTTTTGTGGAATTGGCTGTAACGTCGGCTCTTGGAATAATACACAATAAGAATTCGATGTCCTGCGCCTCCTTTCTGTTGTCTATTGCTTATTTAGATTTGTTTATAACCCCCTCAGATTTTTTTAAATTAAGTTTTTAGTGGTGCACGTTGTACTTCTGCAAACGCCAGGGACTCCCTTTTGCCTGTGGATGGGCTCCTTTTAAACTACCGGCATCTATTTTGGTTTTGCATTCTGTGGGTGCACATCAGGCAAGTTTTTTCTTTAATTAGTGGGACTTGCATTTCGTTTTTCTCCCTCAGCCTAAAGAATGGAGTGTTTCAGATGTGAATGAATGCGGCAATGTTGTTTGTACTCCCAGACAGCCACAGTCTTCTTCTTAATTCTTTTTTAACTTTTGGTTCAACCACCGCTAGTGCCATTGTCAATATTTGCCGGTTTCAATTTGTTCATAAAATCAGGAATTTAGGTTGCGAGAACATGTTAATGATAGGATAGTTAGGAGGTTGTTAATCTATAGAGTCACCCATAAATTGGAGAGACCTGACAACGCAAGGTTAGAATCAAAAATGCACTTTAGATGAGTCAAGAATTTCAAATTCTTCTGTATTTTAAACCAAAATTTTGGGTACAATATTGTACCCATGTAATTCCCGTAGAAGTCAGTGATGCTCACCTCATAGTTGCCTTGCATAGGCGTACAGATTTTGCGTTGAGTACACCTGATAGTCTGAAGTAGAGTATCATCGGGATGAACATAATTGTTGGCACACCATTCAGCAACTGATTACAGAGTCTGCTGTACTGGAAACTAGCACTTGGATATAGGCCATTATTGTTATCTATTTTAAAGGTTGATTGTTTCCCTTTTGCATTGCACAGTTTTCAGTGTAGCTTATAATTGCTCACGGTAATATAAAACAACCATGTGAAAATACAACCATATGGAAAACTCAGTGGTTCTTAGTTCTCTGACTGGTTAAAGGAATTGTCCTTCTTTCTGGTTATAAACATATTTGTTTTATAACCCAGAGCTAGATTTAGACATACCATACAACAATATTTTAAAGAACAGGTCCAAATAAAAAAGGACAGTATAAAAATTACTAATAGTATTAATAACATTTCCCCCAAAATAAGACCTAACCTGAAAATAAGTCCTCGTATGATTTTTCAGGGTGCTCGTAATACTGTATAAGTCCTACCCTGAAAACAAGCCCGAGCTAGGTGAAACCCCGCCCTCCACCCTTGTGCAGCAACCAGATGATGACATGACTGTATTTGAATAAATGTAGATTGTTGTACATGAAAAAAAAATCCCCTGAAAATAAGCCCTAATGCGTTTTTGGAGCAAAAATTAATATAAGACCCTGTCTTACTTTCAGAGAAACACAGTATTAATATGTTTTGATTAATATTAATAAATAATGATATTAAAGTACAGTTGGGGTAAAATAATTTTAAAGCATGACAGTAGAAAAAAGCAGAATACCCGTCAGATAGCCCCTTCCTTTGGATTCTCTAGTTGTTTCCTTTATTTATTTATTTTTTATTTATTTATTTTATTTCTATCCCGCCTATCTGATCATATTAGACCACTCTAGGCGGC